CAACTGGCCCCCATCTTCACACAGATCTTCAACAGATCACTGGAGTAGTGTGAACTACTCTGCTGCTTCAAACGCTCCACTATCATTCCAGTCCCCAAAAAACCCCCGAAATCACTGGCCTTAACAAATACAGACCTGTCGCTCTCCCGTCTGTGGTCATGAAGTCGTTTGAGAGACTGGTCTTGGCCTATCTGAAAGACATCACTGGACCCTTCCTTACTGGATCCTCTCTAGTTTGTGTACAGAGCAAACAGGTTTGTGGAGGATGCAGTCAACTATATTATATCTCAATAGACCTGGGACTTATTACCCATAATGCACTTCGATTCACATGAGTGTAATGTCACCTGACAAAAGGCTTTTTTTTCCTCGCCTTTATCTTCTCACAGTTTGGGGACTAATATTTAACTTAATATATTTCAAACACATATTTCAAATATTATTTTCCAATATTTAGTTAGGCTAATATTGTATTTTTAGACAGGCTCGTCTTACCCCATTCTCCCATATTTGATTTTTATTTTATGTGTACTCAAAGTCCACAGATCAAACAACGACATCCTGTGTCATCCTTGTGACTTATACACACTTGACATCAAGTAAAGTATAAAAGCAGGGCTCTTTCTGGAACTTCACAAAATCATCCTCTGAGATTCTAAAGGCAACGATCTGAAAACCAAGGTGAGTTTTTGGCTTACAGACCTACTGAAAAACTTTTCTTCTTAAAGTATTTGTCTTTAAAATACATTGAGAATCCAAAGTATGCAGTATTTGAATGCAGACATTTAACTTTAAATGCTTATTAATTTTCAGGTTCATCATGGCAATGCTGAGAAATCTTCTGCTTCTTTTTATTGTGTTCTCCATGGGGAATGCAGAAGGTAAACAAGACATTTATTTGTACAAACCCTTGTTAATCCATTTTAAAAGCTTGTTCTGTCAAACCTTTGATGTTTTGTATCCTTTTGGAGAGGAATAGCAGGAAACGTATGATATTCCACTGACTGATATTTGCATAACATACAATTGATATACAGTTGATGTAGTTGAAAAATGCCCCTATGGATGGACAAATTTTGGAGTCAGATGCTACAAGTTCTTCTCTCAGTCGGTTAACTGGATCACAGCAGAGGTAAAGTGTTAGTTACAACAAGATGATTTT